TTTGTTGTTTATCGTCTCACTCAGCAATATTTCAGATATATGACGGCGATCTGTAAATAATCGAGTGTGGGCAAGACAATCAAATGATTGATATCTTGAACATCGATCTACGCAATTTGGATACGATGACATGCATCATCAAAGTTAGCGAACCTGACCACCCGATCCCGTTAGTCGCCTCTTAAAACAAGCATGGGTTGCTGAAGACCTATAATAATTCTAACCCGGATCTTCACGGGTCGTTAGACAATAAAGGTTGGGCTATGCTTGACCATATTAGTTATAGGTGTGGTCTCATAAAATTCACTAATTATGAATAAATCCAAATACAAATAAAAACAAAATTTCGACATCGATGATACGAAAAGTGAACACAACGTGGCACATTGTACGTAATGTACTTATGAGTTATAACGAAAGTCGCGACAGCAAGGCAATGCAGTCTGTAATTGAGTCTTTGAGGATCTTTGTTCTAGCCAATGTGTAGTGACATCCTACAGTATTTTAAACATAGTGACAACGTTTCGTTAAAGATTTATGCTTTTATATGTTACCTGTTTTCCTGTCACCGTTAGCGTCTTCAGAGACCGTCGTGTTTCACTTATCAGTGTCATAATGTTTATGATACACGTGACGTGTATAGTAATTGTGTTACGCGATTTCCTATTATTATGGTAAGGGATTTCATGTACTTCCTTCAATATATATCTATTTATGTTGAAGGAAGTACATGAAATATATATATATGACATAATATATGATTTCACAAAAGCAAGAACGTTTAACATTTATTTAATAAAATCTTCATTGGGTTCATAGAGATTTGATGCCAGTCCAAATCCTCCCTGATTTGTACATGGCAACACTGACAACATTCTCGTTGGTGCTACCTGAGGGAGATTAAAAAATTTACATTCCATATAATTTCCCAAGACAACGGGAAGCTAATCCAATACCATGGCAACTCTAATAGCAAACATATATTATAAAGCAAGGTCAACGTGACAACAATTCGACTTGTTGTCTTGAAATCCTCGCGAGAACTTGACACATTAATCCAATTCTCACACGTGTCTAGATATCAAATCATGATAACTCTAACACTAGATCACTGGGACATAATCCCTGAGGGATATAAGGCCTATTAAGATTGGGAGACGAGTCGCTGTATTTGCTGTATCTGCTGTGGGATATACTCGCATAAATAACGTATATCTTTCTTTTTCATCGTTTTTAAGATTTGTTGTTTTAACTTTACTGTTTTGATTAAAATATAGTGTCATTGTGTGGACATTCTCTGTAATATCTATTTACTTGCGCAAACCGATTGTTTCCATCTTGTGTACACGTATAGAAGTGGTCATTAAGATTATAAAGTTAGTGATACATATATTACTGATTAATAGTTTCTCATTTTATATAAAAAATAGGAGTCACTATACAATACAGTCAATCGGCTAAGAGTGTTAGGAACATGTAAACCTAGGGGCAAAAGAAAGTACACCGAGTTTGTTTTATATGTAATTTAGACGTGAAAACGTTGTTGTTAAATTTGATTATGTCTTTTAAAACATCATTTCCGCAATAGTTGTAAAAAGTAATCTGTGGCTGGGTAATGTTGTGTAAAAATAAATTGGTTTAATGAAGACTGGTTTAAGAAATATGTTGCAACTATGTGACCTCTACCATGTTTGAAATGTTAATAATGTGTGCTGAAAAAAACAAATTTATTGATTTTCAAAAAGTAGACTTCTTTTAATCATTAAAAGTTTTAAATCACTGTAGATGTAATCTTTGAATGCTGACTAAGCGCAAGTACAGTTAATTTTTGGGGTGTAATTATAATATCGTTAACTCAAGATATTTTCACTGAAAATTAAAACATATAAAATCAACTGAGAGGTATAGTTTCTTTTGTCCCTCACTTTATGTGCACAAATTTCATGTTAAGCTAATGTGTGAAGCCCTTTTCTAGTGTCCCCCGCCGTTGTATTGCTGGAATATTACTAAAAGCGGCGTAAAACCATACTCACTTACTCACTTATGTTAAGCGTTAAGTAAAGTATTACACCTTGGTGTATGACAGTTCTGTAATGCATGTCAGCTTCCAGTGTGTGGAAATTGAAGGCAATCGTTTCACTCTGTACGAAACACACAGTCGGTCGTGGGGAAAATCGGCATGGCGCAGACAGAGTATGTAATGCCCGCTAATCCTGGCAGTATGAGGGACACAATTACGGGCACAAGTTCTGCCACTATCTTCACCAGGCTGTGTTAGAGTTATCATTAAGCCTCAGTAGGATACAAAACGTCGCTGTAAAGAGCTCAAAGGATGAGCACACAAGACATTCACGTACACTGGTCCTCGTGACGGACGTCCTCGTGCTGAATATCATACATTTACTGTAGATTTCTAAAAATGACCATTATTTGAATAAACTAAACTGATTTCGACAGCCAAACTTAAAGATTGACTGACCGCTTCATTCTAGTTATACTCGGCATACACTTTCAACACATGCTCTCCATCAAAGGACGATACGCGTGTAATGTACAAATATCTTCTAGACTCAAGGACTTAATATGAGTTAGTATGGTTTTACGCCGCTTTTAGCAATATTCCAGAAATATCACGGCGGGGGACACCAGAAATGGGCTTCACACATTGTACCCATGTCGAGAATCGAACCCGGGTCTTAGGCGTGATGAGCGAATGCTTTAACCACTAGGCTACCCGACCGCCCCACTTCATATGAGACCTGAACGAATCTCTTAGGCAGCGCTATTGCTTTTAATAGATCATAACAGAGTGCCATCGCAAGAGAACGGAGAACAGTAAAATCCTCTCGCTAACACCATACCATGGTCTTTGAGTCGACATGCAGTACACCGAGTTGAGAATCTCTGCCTGTATTACTTTGTGTTGAACTTCACCGCGCTACACGAACTGTCGTGTAGAGGGGATTCCTTTAACGACACAGGTAAGTGATGCATTTCCGAAGAGGCTTGAAATGAAAGTAGCCCAGGTCATGTTGACTTCATATCATTCAGATTAATTGGCAAGTATCTGTCGTAACCGGCCCATGTTTCGAAACCTTCCCCTCTTGACCTGGCGTTCAATAGAGATCATACGGTGTCCCGAATATGGCTCCGTAAGTATTTATCTACCTTATATATAATTGATTTCAACTACATTTGACAATTCACATGTCGATTCATATTCACGTAGAATGACAAAAGCACTTTAAAAATCATTACAAACGATTTGTTGGAGCCTCAAGCGAAAATAGCAAGGCCAACCTAACACATGTTACCTGGTTGATGCAATCGTTAAAATATGGCACTGTCGGATCTGAGTCAGTATACTGTGTGAATGGGGTATCCATTTTAAACTGCGACATGGTATTCAGTGGGTTAGCACTATAAAACCGGCATCAGTCCGGACTAGTACAAGCAGCCACATGCACACACACACGTGCATGCACGTGGCTATAGAAGTGCAATAATCTTGAACTCGACGTTAAACCTAATTCAACCCAACCTCATCTTTTCTCCCGCTTAAAGCTGATACGCCGTGATTTTACTGAAGAACTATTCAAAGCGTCGCCAAACCAAACTCTCTGATTACTCATGTATACTCAATACCATTCATTCCTTTGCACACATGATTAATTTCAATGAAAGTATTATTAACACAACATTAGAAGTAAGATTGCAAGATTTTATTGAAATATAGAAGTTATTTTTACATAAAGATAATAGAAAATATGAAAAATGTTACAATATTATACACTAATACACAATCAGTAATCAATATACCAGTACCGTGAACACATTTAAAGGTTGAATGAAAAATTTAAAACTTCTCATAGACGTCTATGAAACTCTTTTGGATTTTCAGTAAGCAGTTTAATATAGAATATATGTAATGTAACACGCAGGACAGACAGACAGATAGTTTATTCAGGAAAAAAGACATAGACCCATAATACAGACAGTGCTTGGTTGCATGAACTGCACATGCCAATGAAGAAATAAAAAATGTTTCTCTTAGCCGTTAGAGTTTATATATAAATGTATTAAACAATAAACGCTCACAAACAAGCAATACATGAAATTAATTTTCAATAAAAGATCTTCCATTTTCTACACACGTCAATATTTACATAACCGTTCAGTGTTTGGGACATGTGTGTATCTCCCCAAATCAACTGTAAGTTTGAACTTCCTTCATCCGAAACGAGTCACACATATTCTCAGATGTACTGTGTAAGATATTTTCTACATTTAAAAGAGATTTAAAATGTTTATAATTAAACGTATCAGATGTACTATTGATTGAACTACGCCATGATTGTTGAAGGTAATAAATTATTGCTTGTTTGAAGAGATGAATAGATATCTTCTCATTGTGTTATCCATACATATCCAAATTCTAATTTAAACAACTATTTTTATCGCGAGTAGGACCCGTGAAGATCCGAGTTGGAATAGGTCTTCAGCAACCAATGCTCGCGGTAAAAGGCGACTATGCTTGTCGTTAGAGGCGACTAACGGGATCGGGTGGTCAGACTCACTGACTTGGTTGATGCATGTCATCGTATCCCAATTGCATGGATCGATGCTCATGATGTCAATCACTGGACTGTCTGGGACAGACTCGATGATTACAGGCCGCCGTCACATAGCTGGAATATTGCTGAGTGCGGCGTTACACAACTATCAATCAATCAATAGTAGGAGTAGCCCATGTGGTACGACCAGAATCGTACAATGATTTGAGCATCAAGTAGCACTGGCGAGACAGTTCGTGATCAACCAAGTGGAGTTTTTGTTTGTTTGTTTGTTGTTTAACGCCTCACTCAGCAATATTCCAGCTATAATACGGCGGTCTGTAAAATAATCGACTCTGGACCAGACAATCCAGTGATTGTCATCATGAGCATCTATCCACGCAATTGGGATCGATGCCATGTATCAACCAAGTCAGCGAGCCTGACTACCCTATCCCGTTTTACGCCTTTTACGACAAGCATAGTCGCCTTTTACGGCAAGCATGGGTTGCTGAAGACCAATTCTAACCCGGAAAGTGGAGTAACATGCACCAATACTTGATGGCCCTTGTGGTGTACACAAGTTGGAGCTGGGCACCATGTCATAAATGTAATATCTCGCAATGGCAAACAATCAATACCAGGCATTATATTACCAATAATATGATTTCAATTGCCTACTACGTTTAATATTACCACGTGTAATATATCCTGTTTTATTTTACTTCTCAAAATACGCTCGGTGATATTTGGTTTGCACGAGCGATGGTAAACGAATTTGAAATATAACCAATTTGATAATGCTAAAAAATAATACCATTGTAATTGTAACGAATATCTAGTCAACAATAGACCCGCACACACATGTCCATGAGTAGAATAGGTGCGTATTCACACATACAATTGTGGATAGACATTCAAACAAATATTGTGAACATCATCATATATATTTGTTTTTGTCGACATTATTCATATTAATCTTATGTTATTATCCATGAACGATTTATGAATTGATCTGAATTGTATTTCTTTTTATATCATCAACTCTTTTCGGCAGATAATCGAGGCGTTGATGTTTTCATTTTGTATTGTTGTTTTGACTTAATACTGAAATAATTTTGTTCTCTAACAACACGGGGCATCATTGATGTTACTTTCGCAAAATGTTCATTGTTTTCACTTTCAATATAATCTTGTTTGTTCATTGAACATAAAACAAATAAAAAATGTAATCTGCTTTCTCAAATACTCAAAAGTGCTACAGTGTAAAATTGGTTTGATTAAGGCACTCATCGAAAACTTTATCGTAACTATTCTGTGTTTTGCCTTTATATAACCTATGATGGAAAATGGTATGATTAATTTGTAAGAAATATTCAACGTTGACATGTTTATACAAAATTGTCAAAGATATTACAATCAGCATCAATAAAAACGAATCAGGCGCCAGTCATACTTTTAGTGTCAAGTTAAGATACAACATGTTTTAGCAACGGGGAATTTATTTCGATGCACACAAAACACTTAACACTGTCACTGTCTTAAGTGATCAGTTGCATTTGTGTCACTGACGAAAAAGCCCCTTGAAACGTTTAAGGCACACAAAGAAAACTGCAATCAATATCAGTTCTTGTGAAAAGAGAAGTCTTTACAGTAGCAGGTTTTATTTGATGCTTTCTGACCTACCACATATATGTCTATATAAATGCACATACTCTTTTCAAACGACCTTTTCGTTACAACGTTTACGACCCTTTTATTCCCACCATCCCAAAGAAATTTTAGTTCAGTGAAAATTAAGTGGTTTTGTCTTGCCTTATCTTGCCTTATATTGTAGATAGAACCATTTACCTTTCTGGCAATTTTAATAAGATTTCAGGCATTCAAATAATTTGATGACACGATAGATACTACTAAATTAAAACAATGCATTTAAGTGTCCATAAAACACGAGGCAGAGTATTGGCAACATATATACCTACAACATTTACATCAATTTAATTAAAACATATTCTTGAACATAATCACAAAAGCAAGGAAGAAGTTTCACTGTGAGTGAAATGACCTCAAATAATAGCTACCAAATCAGTTGAAGATAGAATCGTATTCCAATTTGAGGACTGATATCCCCTGATATCCCGATAAACCCAAACTCGCCAGGCAGTGGACCTAATGCTGTTTTGAATCAACTTTAGTAGATATTGCACCATTACCGTTGACCAGAAAAATAGCTGACTCGTTATCAAGCCAATTACATCCAGAAAACCATCACCCTGCAATTTTCAGAAAAAACAACGTTTTAAGCTTCAACAGGTTTTCCAAACCGAACAGGAGGATTTTCCCTACGTATACTGTGTCTGCTGGCAAGGTGGGAAGACCGAAACGACAACGATGTATACGTAGTTTGGAGAGGGGTCGTTGACTGTTTCCGACACATCAGAATATCAATAAATTGACGTCTGAATATTTCAACGGTCAACGAATATACATAGAAGTTTATGGCGTGTGTGAAATCGCATAAAACAAATGCTATACAGTCTAAAAGGTATTCAACAGACCCTTCTATTGTTCCCCCCGGGAAGTTCAAATATGGAGTCAAAATTAGCATCACACATCGAGGAATTGTGAGAATAACTAGGGACACAGCTGCAGCGACTAACATAAGCGTAATAGGACGATGTCGATCAACGCTGATGTTTTTGTGCTTATTGTAGCAATTACTCTTAAAGCGCCGCCGAACTTTTCGAGCTTTTACAACTCCAACCACGATCAACAAATTAAAAACCGTCAGCAAAATGCATGGCAATATTGCATAGATGAGAACGTTCATCCAGTACCAAATATGCACCATAAAGTATTTGTACTCGTCGTAGATACTACAGTACATCATGCCAGCATCTTTGTCATCCACGAACCGCACCATCCAGAACAGGTGAAGGAACATGACTGACAGAAGAACAACCATGATCACCACGGCAGAGAGGGACTTCTTAGGGGACCAGATCTGCACAAATTTCAGAGGAAACCAAACGGCCGCGACTTTTTCTATGGACATCGCCACAAGTAGCCAATTTGCAAATGTACTTAAAACGTTTCCGAAATATCCAAGGGTTTTGCAACCAAAGTTACCGACACCGATGCCATTATCCGGTAGAACAAACATCAGTATTTTCACTACGATAGAAAGGTTATCCACAACGGCTAATAATGCGATATACATTGTGAGAGATCTCTCGGTGAACATTTTGATAACCGTCACAATTGTTGCACAGTTTCCAGGAAATCCTAAAGCAAGGATAACCCAAAGGTACACAGTTTCCATATCGAAAGCTATTTTTTCAATCACCTTCCATCTTTCATCTCCACTACCATTAACGTGATCATTACTTGCCATATGATTCCCCAGTACAGATATATTGTAAGAGTAGTTTGTTTGGCTGATGAGAGACTGGTTGATGATAGTGGGTTCCTCAACTGCCATAGGGAATGACTCCAGGTTCCCCAACATAGGAACGAATAACTTGTTTCAGTTGACCTACTGTGGCTCCTTGTGTTCATCTGAAATTAAGATAAAATCTCAACTTATCGTTTTTAAAGTACATACATCTACAAAATCAATGTCTAGTTTATGGTATGAACTGCCAGTAGAGATACGATGACTGCATACAACTGACATTCTAACACCTGCTGTCAGATTAACCAATGCATCATACTGCTGCTGCAATCACCGTTCTTAGCGCAGTTAAATGTATTAGGTGTAATGCTGCAGTATTGTGTTTACATCAGTTCGCATCATCATCAGATTGACGCAGGTGGGTTACATTTGATTATATGAACGAGCACGGGTATGGCTCTGATGGATCAAAGTTAAAAGGTCAAATCGTGTTTATAATAGAACAGAAATGGCAACCTGCAAAAAATGTAGAATATCAGTTTCTAAACATCTGGGAAGAAAACCTTTTTTGTTCAAACAAGCTGCCCTTATTGAGTTGTATTATAGGCAGTAATGGAGGCACGAAGAGCCACAATCTTATTAGAATTATTTAAGCAGGATGTGCATCAATATATACTCAACAATAAATGTTCCTGTGACACCAATATTTTAATGTATTTTTCAAACAAGGAAAGTTTGGTTTTCAATATTGGAGTACATGTTTGTAATCAAGTCACAAAAAACGCAACTGCTACAGAAAAGCATGCATTCAATGCAAAAGTTGACTTTTATGCAATCCCCATGCATTTCACTACCCAAGAATGGGTATAAAAACATGTGCGTCAACGGGATTCCATATGCATTGTTTAGCATCGTGCTGACAACAACCACTCAGAAAAACAACAAAATTACGCAATTATTCAACATTACGAAATGCCACGCCTGTCCGAAAATGAGCGTCTGCGAGCCATTGGTATGCTTGAAGCAGGATCGAGTCAACGTGATTGTGCAAGACAATTTAACGTCCACAGAAACTCCATTTGGTGTTTATGGCAACGTTGGCAACAGACGAATGCAGTCGAGACCATCCTCGGAGTGGCAGGCCACGCGTAATCGACATGACAACTGGATTCGAACAACACACCTACGAAATCGATTCCAGCCAGCAACAGTGACTGCAAGAAGCATCCCTGGCCTTCGACGAATATCTTCACAAACCGTACGTCGTCGCCTCAATTGTGCAGGGATTGTTGCCAGAAGACCCGCCAGACGTCCCATTTTGACTGGAAACTACCGTCAAGTACGTCTACAGTGGTGCAGACAGCGTCTACGCTGGACGGCCATGCAGTGGGGACAAGTTCTATTCACTGACCAGTCTCGTTTTCACCTCAGCCACAGCGATTGACGGATTCGAGTGTACCGACACCGAGGTGAACGTTACGTCAATCATTTTGTCAATGAAGAAGATCGGTTCGGGGACGGCAGCGTTATGGTATGGGGTGGGATTACAGCAAGACGGAGGACCCGTTTGATAGTGGTAGAGGGAAATCTCAATGGACAGCGTTACCGCGACGAGATCATCGGCCCCGTTGTTCTACCGTTTTTGCGTCGTCATGGCCCAGGTATTACCTTTCAACATGACAACGCCCGTCCTCATATTGCTCGAATTGTTCAGGAATCTCTTCAACAAAACAACGTGAATGTCATCCCCTGGCCGGCTCGCTCCCCTGATCTCTCTCACCAATCGAGCACATGTGGGATGCGATGGATCGGCGCCTTCGACGTCAACTACGTTTTCCACAGACACTCCAGGAACTTCGAAACATGCTCCAGCAGATATGGACAGATATGATCCCACAGTACTTTTTTGTTTTTTATGAAATCACGCATTTTCTGAAGTCAGTATGGCAAATTAAACCATATGAACATTTACAGGAGTCTTTTATCTGTTGCAAACCGAAATTGTTTCAGATTTGGTAAAAAACATAACTTTTCATTAAATCTTATTAAATGTCACAGGAACTTTTGTTATTCAGTATATATTAAATTTGGAAAACATTCCTCGAATTGACAATGAAATGCACATTTGAGTTCAAAGGACCTAACGTGAAATAAGCGTTAGAATAATGATTTGTTTCCAGTATACTTTCCGACCTACCGTTATGTGCATTTACTATTTGCATTTACTATTCTACAGCGTACAACTTCTGATATCATTTTTTGACACCACAAACACCGCCACTTCCTTAAAGCTTTCATGCAGGTTATCCCAACAATCCAATTCTTCCGCCGGGAGCTTACATGCCTGATCCAGTCATAGCAGTGTGATTCTGATTGATATATATATATATATATATATATATATATATATATATATATATATATATATATATATATATATATATAAATATAAACTTTCTACTACCTATTTATCACATATGTGGACAAAAACAACTTACTGTGGAGATTAACAATCAATCACCTGATAGTTATTACATGTGTACGTGTCACAAGAGCAAACGTTGTCCCCGAGAGCCAGCGGTTGCCGGGGAAGTTGATAAAACTTAAGGTCGAGTAGTTCCTATACATCTCACATTTCGACGGCATGGCTAGGTGGTCATGCCATCAACCATTGGTTTACCTGTTCCAGATTCCAATAGCTACGAATAGTTAATACGTTGCTGATTGCGGCGGATAGCAACTGATGCTTTAAAGTATAGGCCCTATAGTCACATGTTATATTAGTGGGATTTACACACTAAGGTACCTATATACCACAGGTATAACATACTGGTATACCGGTATGATTCTTATAGACGCAGTAAAATGTTGAGTACTACTCCCGAACACTTGCATTCATATTAGCAAGGCCTTCATTGTCTTAAATGTCTTGTCATATGGACATAGTCGAAATCTTGCACAGGACTAATGAACTACCATCATCAAAGAAAAGTTATATTTACTTTTCCATCCTTGCTCTCTTTGCAGAGAACAGTCACACAAAACTGATATATCAAGGCAGAAACTATTGATTTCAGGTCGTAAAGATTTTCTGTTTCACGTAACTGAAAATAACATCAAACTCAAAAATGGTATCTATTTCGACAAACATATCTCTACAAGCAAGAAATCGATCTGGAAACGTCGGCACATATAAATAATGATAATCACTTTCACAGCAAGAGTAATTCAAGTTAATTTTTCGGGCACGGGTGACCCGAGTTGTAAGGCATCTCAAGCCTAAGAACACTTCGGGCTTTCCTCCCACCCACCACACTATTAACATTAACTACTAACAATTACCGTCCTAATTAACCATTTCGTCTTCAGTGTTAAAAATTTTCCACTGCAATCCCTTTCATGAAAAAAATAAATAACATTCACTCGCAATAACGAATTGTACAACTAGAGTACCAGAGGTACAAAAAGCCCACGTCTACAAAATACTTTTGACACATCTAGAAATCCCAATGTTCAGCATTCATATACTAGTGTCATACATCTCGTGTTACATGTTGATCACTTTTAAAGATCTTTAGGTTCAACTTTGAATATAGACAAAATACAATGGTTCTGCATATTCAATTACAAAATGTTCTCAATATTGTTTCAATCACTTTACATGGCCAATGGTATTTTGGGAAAGTATTTCCAAATGTATTACAGACGACCGTTGATCTTCTTATATGATAACCACAGTTTGTACAGACATGTATGCAAAGTTAGGTGAATAACATATTTTAAAATCGTAGGTTATGTGGTTATAAAGTGGTTCTTACTAGTACATACATTGAACATGTTTTACACCAATCCTTAATTTTCAAATTATTACATACCCCCTAATTTAGACATTGTACATGTAGTCAGTTTTCAAAATTAAAAGTTTACTTAAATATTCAATATTCAAATAACTTCTAAGAAGCGGCTGGAACTAATGTTGAACTTGCTAAAATAATTCCACGCATCTCAGTAAGAGGTTCGAGAACCTACATTGTACATTATTCATATTGTATATGTGTTTTACTTTTGCATACACAATAGAACGATAAAGGGTATATAAACTACCATTGAATTGACAACGTGGGATTTTGATTATGAGTTTGAGCATCAAGCAGGGCGCGCATATAAACCATGATTTCTATTTTACTTGTTTGTGTATAATTTTATTATACTTAGCAGTGGTATCATCCAACTTTTTATAATAGCAGTTGTTTCCTTTTTGCAGTAATGTGAAGCAGATTATTTCAGCTGTCACATAAATCCACAAATCCGTTATGTAGACGTACATGTAATTTCCATACAAACGTACCAATGTACATGCATGAACAACAATAGGTTGAAGGCAATTATTACGCGATATCAAACACCTACGCATTCGTGGGTAACAAAGGATAATGGATACATAACCCTATCATGGATGAAAACCACACATTGGTTTTAAGATAATAAGTAATTTACTGAAATGAATGTTAGAATATTATTAAAGCAAATCCCTGTAACTATACGATTGAATTGAATATGCAACTTACACGTTTCTACCTGCAGTCGGAATCAAATGTTTATAATCCATGTTCCCTTTGTGTCATCTGTCGATCAATGCCAAAGACTCTCCTCCCCAGCTTTTATAGCACAGAGGCAGCCATAACACATCAATAAATCACTCGTGCAAATAAAAGGGTAATGAAATACTGTGCCTTAAAACAAAGCCTATTAACTAATATTTCATTGGAGGATTTAGATATGTTTTTCTCTTGTAGGAATTGCTATTTGCGTGAATTACCACCATAAAGGTCTATAAATAATGACATACGGTTATTAAAATAGTCCCTTTCGCGTTCCCGTGTGTATTTGGCTGCTTGGAATAGCCGGAAAAGTACTGGTACTAGTTTACAGTGCTCGCCGACTGATAGACCTTGCTACAGATTAACATGGATATCCCACATTATACTAATGCCGAGTCGTCCAGTCTCTGTTTCATCCCCTTTATGCCGAACACCGGGCACAACATGTGAGCTTAGGTGAGGTGAAATGGGGTTGAACGTCACGCTCAAGATCACGACACGAAATCAACCCATTTCCTGAAGTTTGGAATAGTGATGGTATCAATGTAAGGGCACATATTTTCAAGTATTCCAAAGCATGTGGTTATGTTTACATGTGTGCCTAGTTTGGGAAAGTTTGGAAATATACCTGTCCATTATCCTGGCATGTGTGTTATGTCCTAGATGCCAGGGCACAGGGACACTAAACCAAATTAATGACATTTACATGTGTGCATACCATTTGGAATAATTTGGACAGTTTCTAATTTCAAACGCTATTTAACTTAAATTTCGTCGTCCATAAATTAACAGAAAATTGTACAATTTCAAAATGTTTATCGCAAGTTTGGCAAATATGAGATATAATTGGCATCAATACCCTTTGAAATTCTTTGAAAAATACAAGCCGAATCAATGAGCAAATTGGTGTTATTTTATTTCCTAACATGACCATGTACGGGCCTCAGTGTTAAGTCAAACAAACAAAAACATGGACAAATTAGTAATGTCCTCTCTACGGGCGCACGATGTCCCTTCAGAGTCTTTAAGCATACTCACAGCTCGTTAAGTTGAACAAAGGATGCTCAGTACATTAGCGAGAGATCTTAAATTCTATTGGTCATGTGGAAGATAAAGCCTAACCTTGTTTGCAACATTGTCTCAGTTGACCATTTTGACGGAGATATATTGCGACACAAACGTTGTCAGTGACGTTTATAAACAGTTCAAATCTATTCCTAAACACCATTGAAATGAACTTTTCTTGTACGAAAACCTTCATAAATAATTTAGGACATTATTTTTAGTTAACCAGTGAAAGATGCCAAAATGCATTAGCTTCTGTTCATTTTGCAATATTCAGAAGAGTTACAGTATAAATAGTCTGGTATACTGTACTGATGATACCTATAAGAAAGCTTGCTGATTCTTTTGTTTGTCTTTGTACTAATGACTAGGTTTCACTGATTGTGGGCAGATGGTAGCAATAGCCTTTGTCCCACAGAGAGACTAAGAACACAAGGCGGTCAGGAGATTAATTTAACTTCAAGGCAACATGAGATATGCGCTGGAAGGAATATCCTTGCTGTGGACTTACTGACCCCAGTGTGACAACAAACAACTGGGTCGCGATTTTATCTCATTTGGAGGTTAAGTTGTATAAATATGTTTGTCCTGTATAAATATGTATGATCAAGTCGCCATAAATTACAACTCTCATATATGTACACTTTCTCTACATCATGTGGTATTCATAAGGGGGACAGTCACCTTTCATAAGAAATACAAGCATTGTGAACTATCAATGTCAGTGAGCAGAGGTTGGTGACTCAATATCCCCCACACAATACTACAATCGCATTTTAGAGAAGTAGTTAATTAGGTGGTTAAAGTATGATTTAATTCCTTTTATATCCTTGTATATACATACCAAACGGACATTCACTATATTCATGAGGTCCACAGTACAATTCAGAGTTACAATTCACAATGAATTGACTACTAAATTATCGAAGAACAAATTGAAATATTTTAATCTTTTATCCTTTTAAATATAAGTTGACCCCACTCTGTAAATATCGTAAAACTAGTTGTCTTGACTATCTCCTATAATTACATTGTCATATTTATCATTACTTAGAATGAGACCGTGCTGTAACAACGCCAGTCCGCTTACTGGGACATGTTACAACACCTAGTCCGCCGTGATATTGCTGGAATATTGCTAAAAGCGGCGTAAAACCATACTCACTCACTCACTCACAACGCCTAGTGCAACGAACCATGACCAATGATTTTAAATCCGTAGGGAGCAGCCTTCTTTCGCGAGGGAGCAGTGTCGTGACTTGAGGGAAATGCAATGTGTATAGTGACGGGAAATGGGGATTAATTTAGCAAAATTGGATCAAGTTCTCAAGTTCTTTATTTCACCAAAACCTCTCACAGTGTTACACAGTACAATTCAGTAATTGTAGTTATATCACTCAACATTGCTAAGGGCGACATATTTAACTAAATATGTCTATTTTGGTCGTTAGAAAATGTTGAGTAGTATATGGCAGTTTCCTAATTGTACATTTGTACTGATGGTGAGAGCTATTTCAGCAGGTCAGTGGTAGTACGTAATAATAAACATCATTATTATCATTTTTTTAAACTTCCGAAATATATATTTACTTAAACGATTGAGTGTTCTACTATCATTAGTTGTAAATAAGCATTGGAGTTTTTAAAAGTTAGGATTTATACGACAATTGTTTGGTAATGACACATTTCCTTCAAGTTTTTGATAACATATGGTGATATTCATCTCCCACTGCACCTGAGTTACTAATCGGACAGTGAAAGGAACATTCTGCCAAAGACCCGTTTCTACGGGCAAAATAGTATTACTTATCGAAATTGTAATATACGTTGGGATATTTAACGTGGTAACAATATATCATTTTCAGAGGAACTCTTGTCATGTCTAAAACCATATGGTTTTGTTGTTACATGTATATCAAAAATATTGTTTGGATTGTGAACCTGTTTTTTTAAAAAATAACTGTCACTTGCATCCTGATGTTTGAACGGTGATAATACATAATTCAACACAATACTAGCAAATTAAACAAATCTCATAAATATACAAATATTGGAATAAGTTTGTGTCATTTTTCTGTGACAAATACTTAGTTTATGGCAATTTTATTACCAGATAAAGATAAAATATCATTTGTTTCGAAAATGTTTGTTCCATGAATCGCCTGTTCGATGAATAAACCAAACATGGCTTTTGTTGTAGTCACCTAATATAAGTACATATTGTTTCAATTACTGTCGGGCCCCGTTACCTCGAGATTCATTATCTCGAAAGCACCGACATCTAGATCTGGAACCTATTCTCCAGTTCCGACCAGTCCTCTCTATAAATACATATTAATTTGACCGCTTATCTCGAATTCGAGATAACAATACATAGCTATTTCGAACCTTGGACTCGATTCCAGCTTTGACTTTACTATAGAAATTATCATCTTTATCTTGAAGTTGGCATTTGCCACATTAACAGCTTTGAGAAGCGCAAATAAGCATTTAACATAGCTGCGAGCAATTCTCCTCTCTTTTACCTTTTTCGTAAAAATGAAATTCCAATAAAAATATAAAAACACCATGTGTAACTCAGCTGTTGCCAATTACAATGTTTTGTATTGATTATTGCCAACGAAGTACATTAAAATTATCAATTGTCATCGCATAACCCTTTGCATCCCAAATTTATGGTGAATACAATCGTATTGATTCGGATCTGTAATGCCCATTCTGTTACTCCGTCAGGAGAAACAAACCTTATATTTTCCATTTAAACACAATTATATTCATGAAAATACACAGAAATGGAATTGTGAACACACAATTCATTATCTGTATTAACACCTCTTCCTTTAGAACAACACATATTTTAACACACACAAATGGTTTACAAACAACAGTTAATATGTGTTTTCCATTGCGTTCAAGTTAATGCTGTCATTATGTATTACAAATACACCTATTATAAGTATAACAATTGTAAGAGAAAAATTGAGTTACGAAATTTCCGTCTTATTATATCAGATAAAGGACATAGAAACAAATAGTGTTATTTGTCAACGATGACGTTTAAACCACATTAAGTGCATTATTTGTATGACACATTGCTATCAACCTACTTTAGTTGCCATATAGCGTCTATATGTAAGACGATTAAGGCCAATGGCATTTTTTTCAATTTTGATAAATATCTTTCAAAATTAAGAATATGTTTTTTTACCGTTGTCGGTGACATCTTTAGAGTAACATTTATTTAAACAACCATTTCTGTGTGTGATAGTTAGCTGAAGCTTAGATATTGGTTTACTCGCTATCCATGAAACATTTAACATTTCATGATATTTGCTGATATTTCTCTCGAAATGAAAGATACAATAGTCAATGAAGTACAGACTCATAAGCGGTTAGGGCCTATTCTCAGACATGAAATGATATTGCAAACATGATGAACCTCTAAATATTTGTAGAACGTAAGTGGTGGTTATACTAGTGCCTTAGAGAAGTAGTACAACCAAAGATTATTCTGCAGGTAAAATGACTCTCTATGGAGTACTTCATTAAGTACACCACACATGTACAATGTATACTATGATGCCACACTGTGAATGTATTGCAGTGACATGTAATGTTTGATAAACACCAGTTTGTAAAGTATTCCTGCTAACATAATGCTGTCATTGAATATACTTATTGACATGGCTATTTAATTTATGATCAACTTGCATCGCGTCTCTTGTCTTGTACAAATCTACATGACAATTTGTTATATATTTATGTACTGGCATATACTTATGTAGCATTTTGAAAAATACCACTTTGACACTGATTACATCACAGTTGATGTATGTACATGTACTTGGTTAATAAACACATAAACTAGCGGCCAAAAGAAACGTTACCAACATTAACTGATTTGCCACTTTGAAACAAAGATGCCAACCCGTTCAAAAACAGTAAAGAACACATCTCACGAATACAGCCTTCGTGTTCTCTGTAGTTCTTTGCACGTGCTTTGCGGATTTTGGGAGATA